AGTCTACATTATTTTGATTAATATTGGAACAATTTGATGTTTCCCTCTTTTGCTTAGAGGTCGTCGTTGTAAATGTCGCTCTTTTAATTTGTCACTGTTCTAAATCTCGTTCCTTACATATGTCGCTCTTTTGATATGTTGCTGTTTTTTTTAGATGTCGCTATTTTGAATATCGCTGTTCCAAATGTCGCTATTTTGATATATCGCTTTAACAATATGTCGCCTTTTTGATGTTGCTATTTTAAATATCGTTCTTTTGAACCGGAGCCACCGAAAATATCTTGTTTTTGGAAAACGATCTTCAGTTCTCGTAGATAGTAAGGCACTTCGCGTTCTTGGCCAATCGCGCTTTATCCAGTCGCGTTTTTGTTCCATCGCGCTTTTGTCCCCTCGCGCTTTGTCGCTCGCGCTTTTGTTTCTAGCGGTTTTATCCAGTCGCGTTTTTGTGCAATCGTGCGCTTTTGTCCCTCGCGCTTTTGTTCCTCGCGCTTCTATCCAGTCGCGTTTTTGTCCATCGCGCTTTTGTCCTGTCGCGTTTTTGTTCCGTGCTTTTGTCCCTCGCGCTTTTCGTATCGCGCTTTTCTCCCTCGCGCAAACGGTTGTCACGCAAATGACACAGACCCCATGCATAAACTGGCATTCTTTAATTGTTGATTTCAACCAATCAGATTGCGATTACGTGATAATTTGTACTAGTGCAGCATTATCGGATTGGATAATTGCTCACTAACGGGTGGCATTTGAAATTTTTTCTGATTGATGACATTTTATACTTACGAGGATATACTAAAAATTTAAATTTTTGATTCATGAAATTCTCTCATAAAATACAACTGGAGCAATGGAAATATATCTATAATTTTTGACAAATTTGCTCTCATGCATTTTTAACTGGAAAAGGCACTCGTCCCTCGTGCTTTTTTTCAACTAAAAATGCATTCGGGAAAATTTGCCAAAAATTATCGATAATTTCCATTTTATCCCAATTTAATTTTATTTTATTTTCTGTATAAATGAGCACACGATATTTCTCTTTTTGATTTTTAAAACCTATAAGGCCTCCTCCAATAGAGTTTTCCTAAACTAAAGAAAAGAAAACTGAAAAACTATTCTCAAAAAATTTAGAAATTAATATTTGTTCCAACAAATGTTGAGTTTCATTAATTAAAATATACAGGGTGCATAAAAATTAAGGGTGGGAAATCATTTATAACGGAACACCCTTTTACTTACCTTATTTTATACTGCCCTTCGTTTTTTGTGATGATGTCGGTCTAACTTAACGGCAAGCTTGCGAAACACAAGTTTTTTTCAAACACGATTTTTTCATGGAGTAAAAGAGCAGCAAATTTTTGGGTTTTCACATTTAATTATTGGCAAAAAGCGGCAAATTTTCACAGTTTTTCTCTACCACTCAATTTTTCTCTACCGTCATTTTTGATGATACTGTTTTGCTCACTTGATGTCCACTTAGCGAAACACATCATATTTTTTTCAAACGCGATATTTTCCACTCACTTAATTTATCACTACCGACATTTTTAGTGATCTCGCTAACTTTACGTTAAATTAGCAAAACATTATTTTATTTTCGAACACTATTTTCTTATGAAAAGAAAGGTAGCGGCAAATTTTTAGTTTTCACATCTAATTAGCGGCAGAAAAACGGCAAATTTCCATTCACTCAACTTATCACTACCGACATTTTTAATGATAATCAGGCCTATGATGTATCATTTTCTGTTATTTTAACAGCAACGTTAAGTTATCTGTCACTGTTTATTCTACACGTAAAAATAGAGACATGTATAAGTTTTGAGCTATAACACAACTGGTAAAATAACAGGAGAGGATACATCATAGGCCTGATTGTCTCACTAACTTGACGTCAAGTTAGCGAAACCCATGATTTTTTTTTCAAACTTGATTTTTTGTAAAAAAAAGAAGCGGCAAATTTTTGGTTTTCACAACTAATTAGCGGCAAAAAAACGGCAAATTTCTATTCATTCAACTTATCACTACCGACATTTTTAGTGATAATAAGTCTCGCTAACTCGACGTCAAGTTAGCGAAACAAATGATTTTTTTTTTCAAACTTGATTTTTTATGGAAAAAAAAGAACCGGCAAATTTTTGGTTTACACAACTAATTAGCGGCAACAAAACGGCAAATTTTCATCTGCCTAATTTTTTACTGCTGACATATTTAGTGATGTTGTCTCGCTATCTTGACGTCAAGTTAGCAAAACACGTAATTAAGAAAAAACTAAAAGAGCGGCAAATTTTTTAATTCCACATTTAATTAGCGGCAAAAAAGCGGCAAATTCTTGGCATAACGGAAAATCGATTTTCCAAAGTTGTCTCGCTAAGTTGATAGACATAGATCTAAGTTACCTATATGGTGAAACTCAAAAACTACTTTTGAAAATAAATCCAAGTAAATCAATTGCTATCCTTTTCTGTAGCGATAAACACAGGGAAAATATTTTAGACAGTCTGGACATTAAAATCAACGGCAGCACAATTAATTTTAAAGACTCTGCCAAAAATCTTGGGCTTGTCGTAGACTATAAACTAAGATTTAAAGAACATATAACACTTAAATTGCGTGTTGGATATTCAGCCTTAAAAACAATTTATACACATAGATACTACCTGCGCACGAATATTAAAAAAATGCTCTGTGAGACACTTTCACTTTCTCCTCTAAATTTTTGCGACACTGTATATGGGCCATGTCTCGATAGCTATGATGCAAAAAGAATTCAAAAACTACAAAACTCCTGCTTGAGGTTGATTTTTGGAATGCGTCGAAGAAATAGAATTTCTCATAAACTTAAAGAAATTGGGTGGTTAAACATGTACAACCAGCGAGTCTTGCATGCAACCTGTTTCTATTATAAAATTATAAAATGCAAAACACCGCCTTATCTCTATGAAAAAATAAAACATAGAACTGATGTACATAATCTTAATGTTCGACGAAAGAATCTGTTAAGAATTCCAGCACATAATAAGGAACTTTTTAAAAGATCATTTTCCTATCAGATAGCACATTACGTGAATAAATATCATATTAATGACCACTTAAATTCTGAAGCGATTTTCAAAAAAAAGTTTAAAACTTATTTATTTAATCAGCAGTAAGCTCTTCATCACCAACTTATGACTCCACATGTAAGCATGTGTTTGCAGATATTTTTTGTTCGTAGATTTAAACACCTAATTTACTCTAATCCCTTGATGTCCTTTCCTCATCTTCCTTTTTTCCTGGGTATTGGAATTTAATATTGCGACTTCTTTTATGAGATGACACAGTGACGTCATTATCTTAAATGTATTTTTTTTTTAAATAGTTTGTCAGAAAACTTTGCTTTGACTTTTTTTGCGCTTAACTTTCTTTTATCTAATTTAGTCATAGATAATCACTTAATATTTAGAGGCTATAACAGCATCTGAAGGGTCTTTCATATTTGTTAACCCTTGGGAGGCTGAATTGCGGCCCTTTAACCACAGATTTATTTGTTTAGCATAGCATATAAATATTGTAAAAAGCTGAAATGGTTAATAAACGTCTTATTATTATTATTATTCTATACCAATACTCAGATTTAATAAAATTGGCACTGATATATTGGAATATGGTGCTAAAAGCTTTTTACAGTTTATTTTTTCCCAAGATAGATTTTGGCATTGTCAACTTTGAAACAGAGTTTGAAACATAAACAATGCTGTTAATGCCGCTTATTGGTTGCCATTGTAAAGCTGATGTCAACCTGCAGGAACACCTCATTTTGCGACCAATCAGAGTCAAGCGTTATTGTTTATGTTTCAAAGTTTTCAATGTCAAAATCTATCTTGGGAAAAAATAGAGTGTAGTAATCATAGATTTCGAGGTCATATTATTGAGAGACAAAACATAAAATTCAGTCATACATGCATTTCAAGATATTTTTAAAAAATTTGGGTATCCACAATTTGTGATTGCAGAAAATTTATCTTTTATTTCAAATAAATGCAAATCCTATTATAGAGACAAAGATATAACGATTTTAACATGTACTCGTCACTACCACCAAAGCAATGGGCTAGTTATATTGAACGATTCCCATATCGACTAATGTTAAATTAGTCAATCAATCTATTGTTTTAAGAAGCATACCAATTGCTCGCCTACGATGACATCACAATTGTTGACGTTTTTAGTGAATATTGCTAACTTGCATTTATTGTTTATAAAAAGCGGTGCAGCCATGCACAATTGTTCTTTTGCTTTCATGCTTTGCAGCAGCAACTAGTTCCACCAGTCTTCATATGTTACTTTACTTTTACTTTTAATTAAAATAAAGTTTTTAAAAAAGTAAAGTTTCTTATTTGAAACTTAATTGGCTTGCAGAGAAATCAGTAAATATTGTCAAACATACATATTTTGAAAAAGGGTGCTGAAGATAATAATGATTATCATAATGATTATAGAGATCTTGTAATGGAGTGGTGTAACAGTACTTAGTCAGATGAAATTATCATTTACAATTAATTCTAAATCAAAAAGAGAGAATTCTTGAGCCTGAGTTGCATCCTTTCAAGCAAACTCAACCATCACAACAAAATTTTTATTTTAATGATAATATTAACTTTATTCTTTATACCAAATGTATCCCCGATAAATACCGTACCTAAACCCCATGCTCAGTCACGATATACCAGTTCCATCTCCATTAATAATCATAAGCATGTATCCTATAATTTTGGAAAACCTGTTAAAGCCCCTCCTAGACAAGGAAGGTGTTTAATATTATCTATTGTTAAGGTTTGATAACAAACAAACCACTACAGTTTAGTTTAGTATGGACCATATTTATGTTAAGACACTCATCACTTATGTGATTTATATCATGTAATAATGAATGTAATAATATTTGCTATTCATCAAATAACCAAGTAAAATTTTAATTGTTTAATTTGGAATAATCAAAATATAACAAAGTTTAAAACACTTACTATTGCGTTTTGAGTAAAACTGTTCGGCAGCCACCACACCGACCTGTACAAATGCATAAACTGTATGCCGGTTCCTGTAAAAGCATACAGGGCCATAATGAAATCGAAAAATAGGTCGCTATCCGAAAACAAGCTGGGAAACGGAAAGTGCTTGGGTAAATCCGGGGCTTCCATAGTGGGAATCAGGAGAATGGGGATTCCTTTGGTAAGGGTGCCGGAATCGCCCTGAGAATTGGTACGACCCGCTCTCGACAGCCTGCGAGCGCCCGAAGGCATTTTTTGGGTTTGTTTGCGAATTTTTAATAGGGATTTTTCGACTCTTTTATTTAATTTAGGGCCCCTTTTCTCAATTTATTTGCTACTTTATCAATTTGAAAATAATAACAATAACCTAACCTCACATATTATGATACTTTTGACAGCAAAAAAATAGCGAACTATTATTGGAAGGGAGTGTGCACTGAGTCGATTTGTGTTTTTTTCTACCAGCTTGTATAAGAAAGAGATAAAAGTATATTTTTTCTACACTGGTTTTACGAATTATTAAACGATCAATTTTTGTTATTGGGCAATTCAATCAATATGGCGGCCATGGACAAACGACAAACGATGAAATTCGCGCCACAAGAATTTCATAGTCGTTTGATTCAACTTCAAAAAACCATATTTTTCTCGCTAAATACCATCGCCAGACATTTTACTCCACAACTTTGTTAATTTCAATCCGATCTTATCCATATTAGGTTCGGATTAAAATTAGATTCTCTACAAATCTACAATCTACAGTAAATAGTTTTAATTCAGCTTCGATTTTTTATGCTCTACTTACAAACCTACAATAATAGTTTCAATTCAGCTTCATTAGAGATTCTGGCTTCGAAGTCTTGATTTCTATTGAATAATCAGATAACAGAAGGAAATTTTTCAATCCAATTTATGGGTTAGTTTTGGTATCTTTGTCCATCATCCATTAGTTAAAATTCAGAGTAAAACATTAGTAAATAATCGAAAACGTCCGTTTATATATTACAAAACATCAAATTAGAAAAAGTTAGCCAAAGACTTCCTAATTTCATCATTGGTCAAACCGTCTGCCCAATAATACGCATAATAAACGCAGTAGGATATGCCCATACCCATTATGGATCCAAATAAAACATCTAAAAAAACAAAAATCAGGAAATTTCCAACTAACACCGTTAAACCACCTGAATAATGATGATGATAATCGCACGTCCGACTAACACCAATTAAAACGGCAAAAATTATCGGAATAGAAACCATCAGACATTTCCAGCCTTTATGCCGTCCAGGATCTTTTATGTTTAGGATCCGACACATTCTGAGCGTCATAAATGTCATGCCGGAAAAGGCAAAGGTCGAATGGGCACTTGGAAAACTTTTTCGACCTGCAAACATTTTTTTAACACAAAAAATAAATAAATTACGAAATAGATACCATCCATATATCCTATATAATCGCCGGTACATTGATTAATGTCGGTTCCGTAGCCGTCTGGAAAGCATCTCATAAAAAAATTGGGTCTGGGCCTTCCAACTAGAAGTTTAAGAGTTATAGTGAATATACCGTTCATTGCATAAACTAATGTTAGGGCGTAAATTCCTACAAATATCAGGCATTAGAATAATTATTGATTATTATGTAAAATATAATATAATACCTTTAATTATATCTGTTGGCCGTTGATTTATAGAAAACTCAATTAAAAACATTAGTGTAGGAATCAAAATTAGTAACAAATAGAGGCTCCATTTTGGTATTATAGAAGGCACAGACGGATATCGGTACATCCACAATTCTTCTTCTTCTATGAATCGGATGAATGGCTGTTGCTGGTTTAGCCAGCTGAGAATAATCACAAATCAAATTTTATCCATAGGTACTTGATTTGGCATACTTACAAATACACAATAGAAAGTAGCGCCCTTAATGACAATTCCGAAACGTGGGTACTGATGTCCATTTTCTGGGGTTTTGCATTTTTGTTGTTAGCGAATTTCGGACATTTTCGAGCACAGAAAATTTTGAATTCAATATATGTGACAGAGTCAGTGACAAAATAGTGTCAGATATACGAAAATTGATAACAGTTTTCGGAGAAATAACATAGCACTTTAATTTGGAATATTTTTTGTTTCCTTCGAATAATTAAAAGGGTAAAAGACTGCAGTATATAGCTCGGTCACCTGAAATAGTTTTTTTTTTTTGAATGAGAATCGTTTTTTTTAAGGTTCAAATAGGTATAGTGCATTTTGAAGTGAATTTTTCAGCGGAAATCTTCAATTAACAAATTACTATTTAGGTATAAAATTGTATTTACTACTGAAAAAAATTTTGAGCTGCTCATTAAAAGGATAAGAGGTTGATAAATGAAATTATTTGTTTTCTTCAAAAATCGAATTTCAAGAAGCAAGTAGGTAACATGTTACACAAAATCAAACCTGAAATTAAATTCATAGGTAAAAGATACCTATACATACTTGAAATTCTTAAAAAAATTCACACTGGAATAACTAAAATATAAATAATGGTATATACAGGGTGTTAGAAGTCATGGCTTCCGTGAGTCTAGAGATACAGAAACGGCTGCTTTGGATGCAATCACAGACATACAAATTAATCTTGATAACAACTATAATTAAGGCTTATCTTGTATCTCTAGACTTAAGAAAAGCGTTTGATACTATGTAGATCATAATATATTATTGAAAAAATTATATAACATTGGAATAAGGGGTAAAATTCACGAATGGTTTAAGAATTATTTGAAAGATCGGCAACAATTTGTAAAAATAAATAAAACTCAAAGTTCTTTGAAAAAAATCACATGTGGCGTACCACAAGGTTCAGTGCTTGCACCAATATTATTTTTAATATACATCAATTCGATAGAAAAATTAAAATTAAACGGTAAAATACGATTATTTGCATATGATACGACAATTAAGGTACCTGTCCCAAATAAGGCCATGTTAAGAAGTTGTATTTTTTCTGGACACTATCAACCTAACCCGACAAAAATCACAAGCTTATATGTGAAGTGTTTCGCTTCTATTACTTGAATATTAACACCAATTTATTTATTTTCACATACAGGGTGATTCAAAAGTAAGCGGCATCCTTCCGGGAGCGTATTCCTTGCATGAAAATAAGACAAAAAGTTCCTATTAACATGGATCCGGAAATGCTTCCTAAGGGAGCTACGCCTTTTCGAATAGGACACCTGAAAGACGTATTTTTCTCTATAACTTTGAAACCCTTTACAAATGGATTTTGAAACTTGGTGTATTTTATAAACATTTGATGGCAATTAAGAAACTAAATTGGAAATTCCAAAATCTTAATCAGTGGCGTCACATACTGGGGAGGGTGAGGGTTAAAACATCCCTATTTTTTTACCCGTCAGGTTTTTGCAATTCCGATTGAAAATTCGGAAAATTTAGAGTTTTCTATATAGAAAAGGTACTCTTGGTTCAATTCGATACAGCGTATCGTTTACGAGAAAATTGACTTTGAAAATTTTCTGATTTGCGTATGATTCGCAAAAACCTGATGAGTGAAAAAAATAAGGATGTTTTAACCCTCGCCCTCCCCAGTATGTGACGCCACTGATTAAGATTTTTCAATTTAGTTTCTTAATTGCCATCAAATGTTTATGAAATACACCAATTGTGACCAATTTTCAAAATCCATTTGTGAAAGGTTTCAAAGTTAAATATAGAGAAAAATAAGTCTTTCAGGTGTCCTATTCGAAAAGGCGTAGCTCCCTTAGGAAGCATTTCCGGACCCATGTTAGTGGGAACTTTTTGTCTTATTTTTATGCGAAGAATACGTCCCTGAAAGGATGCCGCTTACTTTTGAATCACCCTGTATAAGTAGTGGTTTTTGCATAAAACAAAGACCCTTATTTGTACCACTATGCTCCTAATAAGGCCACCAATAAAAAATGTTTAAAATAAATAGAATCATTTATGAAAATATTATTTTTTGACAAAAAGTTCTCAAAATAGAACTTTACCGTTTGCTGCATTCTGAAAAAACAATAATTTCAAGTCCTGGGAGAGTGACCCAAATAGGTCTACATACAACTAGGACAACTGAACCCCAGCTTGTCTTGCTTGGTTAGACTCCAGGCGCTCTAATAAACACATCACTTAAGTTATAATATGACACATTCTTTTAAAAAAACACTGTGATGTGAGGCCAATTAAAAATTTTTCATGTGGCCTTATTAGGAACATGTTACATTGATGAAAAAAAGTCTGTAACTAGAAATCTAGAAAAGATATTTTTCTGTACTTACTCTGTAGCTTTCTCAATACATAAATGTCCGTGTAAAAATTACATTCGCTCCATTCCCTTTAAGAACATGTGTATAAACTAATTAAGTTCCAGCCTCAAAGTTATAACGTGACATATGAAATCTGTGGTTAGCCATTTTTCGACATATAACGAGTTACTAGGAATCCTCGCAATAATTTTTGATTTGGATTATAGATATCTTTTTTAATAATATTGTAATTTTTGAAGATGGGATTCAATATTAAGCAATAAAGGGCACTGGCCTTATTAGGTACATGGCCTTATTTGGGTCAGGTACCTTATATATAAGGGGAAAACGTTCGACAATATAAAATCAAATATTTCAAATGATTTAAAAATGTTGCAAAATTGGCTTCAGGCAAATAAACTGACTATAAATTTTGAAAAATCATTTTACATGTTTGTTGATAAAAAAATAATTTCAGTTGAGCAAAAAAATCCGATAAAATTTGAGGACAATAACATACAGTATAAAAATTCAATTAAATTTTTGGGACTTTATATACCTAGATGAAAATATAACATGGAGAGAACATATAAACAACATGTTACAAAGTTTATCTCCTTTAGTTGGCGTATTATATAAAGTGAGGTACTACATTCCTTTAAAATATTTGAAAAACATTTACTATGCACTAATATTCCATTCAAAAATTCAATATCTAGTTTCGATATGGGGATCTGCAAATGACTCAATATTAAAACCAATTCAAAAACTACAAAACAAAATTATTAAGTGCATTCATAAACTTCCGTATCTAGAACCAACTACTAATTTATATAAACCCCTTGGTTATCTGAACTTACATAAGTTATACAAATTGAAAATTTCAATATTTATTCACGCATTATTAACAAAAAAGAAAATATCAAATTTGAACCTTCAAAAGAATGAAAATTTCTATAATTATGCAACTAGAAAAAATAAAAATTTAAAATTATTACAATTCAGAACCAATATTGGCAAAAAATCTTTATTATATTCAGGCATAAAAATATACAATGATTTACCAGAAAACATCAAAAATATAAAACCTTTGAATTTGTTCAAAATATACATTAAAAAACATTTTCTTCAATGTAATTGACTATTTGATAATATAATTTTTTATTATATAAAAGTTTTTTTTTTGGTTGGCTACAATTAACTTAATATACAATTTATGTAACCTATGATGTATGTAATTATGTGTTACAATTTAAAATAAAAATAATAATAGCAATTCAATTAGTATAGTATTCTCATTCATACTCATCTATATGTCTCAAATGAAAAAGAAGATTCTTGAAAAAAAAACTATCAAAACACAAAAGACAGGGTCACTCACTTCGCGCCATAGGGTCTATCTAGGCGACTTAATTTACACAAACAGGGATAATCGACCAGGTAAAAAGGACAACATATAAGGATCAGTACCAAAGGATAACAAGTCCCTAAAGCTTTCTCACACACATTTTGACAAAATTAATAAATAAATCTTAAACCTTTTTATCATATTTAATAATGTACATTAAAGAACTAAAATTGATGGGTAGTAGACGTAATTTAGCCAGTTCATCCATTATATGCTTGGAAGCATTTTTATTATGTTCACATTCAAAAAACCAGTGTTCTAGATCGTCAATACTGGGATTACTACAATTACATATATTGGTATCGGAGAGTTTCATTTTATGAAGAAGGTAATTGATGTTACCATGTCCAGTTATGGCCCTAAAGAGGGTTACATAAGAATTTCTGTTTAAATCATTAAATTGGATAGAAGGTTTTGGTACTAAAATTGGGTATGTACGTGTATATCTATTGATGTTATTCATTGCATAATCAGTATAATTTTGTTTCCAGATCTTATATAAATTTTCTTTGATAATTGGGAAAACATCATAAAATTGTAAGTTAAGTATAAAATTGTCACTATGAATGACTTCTTTAGCATATACACTATCGGACAAAAGTAGAGCAACTCTTATTATAAAATAAAATATTCATCTATCAAAAATACACTTGTTGATAACGGAAGCTAAAATGATCCCAGTTTAAAAGGTTGTAGTTGACTGCTGTCATAGGCGAAATTCAATTGTTTTCAAACGTCAAACAAAAATGTATGCAATAATTTATTTGAACAATTCACATTATTAGCGCGACAAAAGTAAAGCAACTTTTTTATTTTTTCCAAAAAGAAGGGATTTGAGTTTCAGGTAAGATGGAAAACATATTTATAGAGTTAAAAATTAAGATTATTCGTCTTTTTGACAGATTTGAATATGCCAAAAGGTAAACCAATTTGTCTGGAGTTAAAACAAATGGTAGTAGACGCTTTCTTGGAAGGCAGGCGTTTGGTTGACATTTCCAGGCAGTTTCTTTTGCCAAAATACAGTGTATCCAAAATAATTTCACGTTTCAATGAACGTGGACATGTAGAAAAAATGCCAAAATCAGGAAGGTTTAGAAAAACTACATTTTGGATGGATAGGAGAATAAAAAGAGTTTGCCAAAGAGATCCGTGGTTGTCAGGAACAAGAATAATTGCTGCAATTCCTGAACTAGAAGTAAGTGCGAGGACTGTCCAACGAAGATTAGTTGAAGCAAAGCTTTACAGCAGACGTCCAGCCAAGAAACCGCTGGTTTCTGAAAGAAATCGCCGTGCCAGGCTCGAATTTGCACAACGTCATCTAAATTGGACAGTTCAAGACTGGGAAAAAATTTT